GTTTCTTGTAGTGAGATTTCAGTGTTTAAGAGGCACGTTGAGCAGCGCGAGCGGCTGCTGAATGAGCTCGCTGCTTGTGCCAAACGACTGGCGGATAGGAGCGCTGCTATGGCCATGGATGTGAGCACATTGCATGCTCTCTTCGCGGGTTGGCAATTGGCTGAGACTGGCGCAGAGACGCGGAATGATGGCCCACTCGTAGCTCTGCTCGATAAGTCCAGTATGTGCTGAGGCCGTATAGTTGCGTATTTCAAGAGCTAACCATAGTTCTGTGGTTGTATCAGCGGCGACAATCAGCGGATGGAGCCAAGTCGAGTGCTTCCAGCCTGCGATATACGAGCTTTTGCTACTTGAAAACATTAAGTACATGCTCAGCCAAGCGACAGCAATGAAGCAGATGCTGATGGAGCGAGAACGCGCCGTAGCGGGTGAGTCGTCGCCTTCTCCACCGCAAACGGTATCTCCATCATCTCCACCGACGTCCGGCTTCTCCGTGGCGTCGTTCACGTCTGCAGCGTCGAGATTCATGAGCGCAGTGGAGCCACCGTCTCTAAGTATTGAAGAGCAGCAACGTCGTGCACACCACATCAGCGAGCTCATTACACGAGCTTTAATGGCCGAAGAGATGCAGCGTTTCCGAGTTGAGACGACGAAGGAACTGGAAAACATCATGAACCATTTCTCCTGCGCTGAGGCGCAGCTATCGAAACGATCGGGTTCTGTGTGGCGCGAATACCTTAAAACGACTCCAACTGACCCTCAAGCGCTGGCTCAAAGCACAAAGGAACTGCTCGACTCAGCTTCGACAACGTGCATTCCGTCATCACCTTCCGCTGCCGAGGCGTTTTGATGATCGTGCTGTGCTCACTGGACTGCGAATTACACGCTTTGGTAAAAGAATTTAGCTCATAAGGCCAGCAGGCTTACTTTATCTCACTTGCCGGCTGCTAGGACAAAACTTTACTTGTTAAGGATCTCGCGCATCGTCATAAATTTTGACGATGGTGGCAGGTTCGCATTTAATCTGCGTAATGGGGCACTTTCCGTGCTGTTCCAAGTGATGGTATATGCACATGTAACAGAACACGTAGCCTGAAAGTGTCATAGCAGGATTCACACGCTTCTTCTTGCATATCGGACAAAGTGTGGAGTCCATGGTAGCCAGCGTCAATGCTTGACCTGAAAATTGCGGAGGGAGTGGAGGAGGTGGGATCGGTGCGTCGGTGCCTGTGAGTCTCAATTTGGCTGCCACGCCCTCTTCCGAGTACATCCACTCGACGAACTTGTACCCGGCAACACCCAGTAATAGCAGCACGTACGAGTGATCCAGGGTCGCCCATGTCGCACGAAGAGCTAGTCTTCGAACTCTGTCAAATAGTCCGGGGCCGGCCAATTCCTCCATCACCTTCTGGCGGTAGGTAACTTCATTCTGTCGGAATACTGACTCGTCGTCGGGTGTTACTCTCACTAACACTGTCTTCATGAATCTCAAGAAGGGCGAGAAGTACGGCGTGTCTCCAAACAGGTACAGCCATTGGTACAAGAAGAACGAACCCTCGTACGCAAAGTGTGCAAATGGGTACGTAGCCACGAAGCCCTTCTTTAATGTCCGCAAGTACTGGAAGCTGCGAAGACGCCGTAAAAAATTCCCCATTTGCTGTTCCCTTCCATCACCTGACGTAGTGCTCGTCCTGGCAAGCTGCTCCGCTGTCTCCTTGTGATACGCATCAAGCTTCGTCTTCAGATATGGCACCACCACCTGTATGAGTAGCAGAGTACGATGAGGATTGTATCATCACTATCCCATAATTATTATCAACGACGTACAGCGAAGAGCAGTGCGAGTTTCCTGGCTCGAGGTGTCAATGGACCCGTCGTGGTCTCTGCGTTCTCTTTGGCGTGGAGCATGACGCGCTTCATGCCATAGAATTTCTCGGTAGCAAGACTGTCGTATGTGGACAGAAAGTAGCGCTCGATACATAAGCGCAGCAGCGCGTAGCTCTCATCCAGGCGGCGTACAGGTAATGTCAGCGCCAGATTTGGGTACGACTCGCACAACGTGTGCGCCAGATACTCGACCGCCGGCTTAAAACCTGCGGCCATACGCTCCTGCATAAGCAATTCGAATAGCGAAGGGGCCGAGGCCGCCGCATGGGGCGCGCCGTCCTCCGGTGCGAAGCCCTGCGTCTGCTCCAAGAAGAGCATCGCGGAAGTTGACGCAGTCAAAGTGATGTTGCTTTAAGGAGTGATGAATATTTACGTGTGGACCACATGATTTTGATGTTGAGAACTTAACTTGAAGATGGGGTAATACGCATCCAATCAAAATGATTGACGCTTCTCGCGTGCTCCACATCAAGTTGAAAGCTTCAAGCGGTCACTTCCAGTTTCACCAGCCTCTTGTCATAATGATGCTGCGTCGCGCCGCCCCCGCTTCCCGCCGCCTCTTCAGCACGAGCGTGGCTGATACCGACGTGGTGATCGCCAGCTACGCTCGCACACCAATCGCGTGTTTCAACGGATCCTTTTCTCCACTACAGGCGCCGGAGCTAGGCGCCATCGCTAACGCGGAGGCTGTCAAGCGCGCAAACCTCGAGCCTGCGCAGATCCAGGAGGCGTTTTTAGGCAACGTGGTGAGCGCCGGTATCGGCCAGGCCCCGGCACGTCAGTCCGTGCTCAAGGCTGGCTTCCCCAACTTCATCCCATGCACTACCATCAATAAAGTATGCGCATCTGGCATGAAGTCTGTGGCAATCGGTGCGCAGAGCCTCATGAGCGGCAGTCAGCAGATCGTATTGGCAGGTGGTTTCGAGAGCATGACTAACGTGCCTCACTATCTGCCTAAGGCCCGTGCGGGCTACCGTCTGGGCAACGGCACGCTCGTGGACGGCGTGATCCACGACGGATTGTGGGATCCGTACAACAACCAGCACATGGGTATGTGCGGCGAGAAGTGCGCTGAAACGTTTGATTTCTCTCGCGACGACCAGGATGCCTACGCCATTGAGAGCTACCGTCGTGCTGTGGACGCCAGTAACAGAGGCTTCTTCAAGACGGAGATCACGCCCGTGACAGTCAAGGGACGTGGCGGCAAATCCAAAGTCTTTGACACGGACGAGGAAATGTTCAACACGAAGCCCGAGAAGATCCCGAGTCTGCGCACTGCGTTCAAGAAGGACGGTACCATTACTGCAGCCAACGCATCGACACTGAATGACGGTGCGGCAGCTATGGTGCTTATGACCGGAGCTAAGGCTCGCGAACTGGGAGTCACGCCTCTGGCACGTATCCGCGGCTTTGCTGACGCTGCACAGGACCCTGTGGAGTTCACTATTGCCCCATCCAAGGCCGTTCCGCTGGCTCTACACCACGCTGGACTCCAGATGAGCGACGTGGACTACCACGAGATCAACGAGGCTTTCTCGGTCGTGGCGCTGGCCAACATGCGTCTCATGAACATTCCGCACGACCGCGTCAACGTGAACGGTGGCGCCGTCGCTATCGGCCACCCCATCGGCATGTCTGGCACGCGTATCGTGGGTACGCTCATCCACATTCTCAAGGAGAAGGACGCCACTATCGGTTGTGCGTCCATCTGCAACGGCGGCGGCGGTGCTGGCGCCATGATCATCGAGCGCTTGAACTAGATCAAAGGCAAGCAGTAAGCAACTCAAATGTCATTGTTAACCCGTAAATGCCCCCACTATACTACACAGCCAGTTGCACTCAAAACCGTTGCAGTCACCGCAGCGTCGCGAAGATTTCCTGCAAGTTCTTTCGCAGTAGAAAGCGCTGATCTTCTGTCAGTTCATGTGCATCGCACATGGTCTCCACAAACGACTCGATCTGTGTGAGCGGCACCTCGAACTCCAGCATACTCAATGTAAATGAGCCTAGTTGACCAAATACGATGTTGTGCACACGGCATACAGCCTCTTCGCGTGACGGCAGGCCTATACCATGACAGTTAGTGCTCAGTGTATCCAGCTTTGGTGGCAAATGGAGACTTACCATCGTGCTTGGGTACACCACTTGGGAGCTCTTCCCATGGACATGGCTGTGGTGTTCGCTGTAGTTCCTCACCAATCGCCAACAGAAGAGCTTTTTCCCAGAACTATGAAGCACAGAGAGCGTTAGAAGGCCGACGTGATCCCATTGACTAGTGGGATGGTACTCACCGAAGGTGTCTTCCAGATTGCATGCTTTTTTACTTCTTCTTGTAGATATGTCCTTGTGGCGCCGCGTCCGATGCCTCCTCCATGAAGCAGAGGGTGGGTTTCATCGACATATTGCAGTAATTCCTCGCTTGTACGTTCAGTGTAGTCTCTGCAATCCGCACATAGTGAAGATCTTCGCCGTGTTTCATCTTTTGTGTGACTACAGCCATTGCGTGGTGGATTGCCATGTTCTTGCTTGCTGTCACTCGATCCTGACCGAATTTCTTGAGTTTTGGGATAGTAGAAAGTCTCCGCCAAGATCATGGCAGTTTTTGCCGCCTTAATATCGTCTTCACGGACGCATTCGTCCAGAAATGCATTGAAGCAGGCCACAAGAGTTTCGAAACTCGCTTGGTCCTTCACTTTGGTCTCTAGACTACGCTGGCGGTTCAAGCATTTCACGAAAAGAGCACGTCCCCCGGCCGTCTTGCACTTCTCGCGCACAAGAGTCTCAGTTGAAGTCTTCGCTTGGCTGCTAGAAACCTGAACAGGTTCATCACCATTAGCAGGTGGAGGGAGCTCCTCGTCTCGCTCTTCGCTGAACGAAGCACCGGGCGCCTCATCTTCGGCAAAGAACTGGTGAAGCGCGGCACTCATCGGCGTTTGCGTGAGGACGGTGTGAGGACTGTTTAATGGAGCCACTGATGCCATCACAGCGGCATTAATACGTCTCGGTGAGGATGACGTTGTTGTCGAAGCTGATGATGACGTTGGCGACGCAAACGAGCCGTCCTCAATGCTGCTTCGACGCTCCAACAGACTGAGCGATTGTCGTCTAATAGTCGCCCCGCGATCTCCCTGTGTCTTATTCCACTGCCAATCCAGCAACGCCAACGCCTTGCCTTGGAAGTGCATGTTGTCTGGATCACGCTGGTTATGAATAAGCAGCTGAATATCCTCCGCTCGACTCAAACTCTGGACGTGGGTCTCCAGTGACGCCAACATTTGCTGCGAGACCTGCAGTCGCTCCTTCTCCACATGGAGAAACCGGTGTAAACTGGCATTCAGCTGGTCTAGTCTCTCCTCCTCTGCCTTTTGATACGCCACACTCACAGCCATCGTCATCTCGTCCCTCGCGATAATCCGATTGTACAGCGTTGTCTTCGCCCGGGCACGGGCCATCACCGCCTGAGCCTGCTCTTCTTCACATCTAGCAACTCGAGCAGCCAGTCGTTGTAATTCAAACTCCGGTACACCAATACCCTGCATGTGACACAACCGTAACTTTCATATCAGCTCAACTCTACTCCCACGCTACCTTTTCCCACGTACATGCAGTGCGAGACGCTGCCTGTCCTTGGCTTCCCGCAGTTCCATCGTCGCCTTATGCAGCTTATTGACTGTCTCTTTGTGAGCAGTTGCAGCCTCCTCGTACTCATTATTAGCGTTCAAAATCTCGCCCTGAAGCGTCTGGATGTAGGTCTCCGACGCGTCTTTAAGCGACTCCAGCGGCTCCGCGACTTGCTCGTCCAGAACCTGAGCCATTAGAAGCTGCTGTCTGCAAGTGGCGTCTACAAAGCTCTTGAGCTCAAGCAGCGCGCGCCGGATTCCCGTCCCGGGTTCCTCCAACGCGCCAATCTCGTCTAATAAGAGCTCACGAAGCTGCTCGCTCGCGCCGCGCTCCGCCTCCGCCTTACGCCGGAAGAACGCCACCAGGCCCTGCAGACTGCGCTTGCCTTTGTCCGCATGTTCGTAGATGGCGCTGAATGGCACCTGGCAGAACGTGCGGCGCCAATGATTCTCCTCGTCCGAAGCGGCCCAGTGACCCATTATCGTGGCGTTACAACGCTCTAATACTGTATGGATCAGATTGTCAAAAAGAAATGCAATTGAGGAGCACCTGCAATTTCTCGGATTGAAGAATGCCATACAGGTGTAGCTGCTCTTAATAATTGAACCAAGTTGAAGTTGCGATCAAGTGGTTTTAAAGAGCAAAAGTGCTGTTTCCGTGAAAAACTACACAAAGTGGTGGCGCTCCTGTATTCGCGATGTGTTTCCTATTATCCGCGACCGTCTATGACGTCGCCACGCTCTCTCCTCGCCTGCAAACTACCTAGGTGCTATCTCCTACTCCACTATTTTCGCTACCGACTAATAATCCCTCTCGTTCACTTCGTCTCCTTCACCCAAGCATACTCACGCCACTCCGATCTCGTTCTGCTTATACAGTTTGTCGTTGTCTTGGTATTGAGAAACGGTCGCACACCACGAAGACCGGGGTGCAAACACCGTCGCATTCCTCCGCAGCAGCAAAAGAGCGCGACTATGCTCAAGCGTGAGCAACACGGTGGGCTTCTTTGTCAGAGGATCGAGCATCCTCCGCCCTGTTGGATTCGAGTCATGCCGCTCTCTATCTGTACTGCCGATGGTACTCTGCTGCAGACGACGGCAAGTCATACTCCATAGCTGTTGGCTGTTTGCGTAAATCATCCGCGTCGGGCGGGACTTCACTGCTCATCATCCGTCCGAACGACACAGAGTCTAGCGGATGTTCAGCAGCTCCAGTCTCATGTTGCTGCCCTTGATCTGTC